AGCCCAGGCTGGTGGGGGGGGAACTGCCCCCCCAGGCAAATTCTAGCTGGGGTCTAGGGCCAGGTAGGGGGGTTAACTATCCATTTCCCTGCTCAAACTTAGTGCTTGCTGTGACTATGGACTATAAATCCCAGAGACATGTAGAAGCAGGAAGAGATAAGCAACCCTGCAGAGTCCTGCGGCTGTGATTTTGGACTGCAAATCCCAGAGATCTCAGAGGCAGCAGGAAAAGGAAGCAAACACAGCCCATGCTGGCTACATACCAGGGAGCCATGCTCCAACACGCCCTGGCTTCTGGCCTGAGCCACTGCAGGCATGTGGCTGCATTTCCTGAATCAAAGGTAAATGTCTGTTCACTTCTGTTTCAATTAAATCTCTGCATCTTAGACTAATCTGCAAAGACTGAATCAATTCAGCCTCAGGCTGTTTGACTGTTTGTACTTAGCCCTAATGAAGGATCCTTAATCATTCAGCAACTGATGCCTCATTACATTTGACTCAATTAAACTAAAAATGTAACATTTTCAAAAATGACCACCACTTTAAGGTGTCTTAAATTGAGCATTTCCAAGCTGGATCAACACAACTCATTAGCCATTTCTCAAAATGATAACCAATAAACTTAGGATTCTATTTCCATACATGTGTGTACCATGTCTTATATGTTTGCATTACATTATAAATAATGTCCTTGAATGTTTTTCTATTCTTTCAATACAGGAGCAAATCCAGACAAGTGGATCCAGAGGAGTGACATTGCTACACTCCCCTTTCAGAATGGACCATGCTACAAGAGCCTCTGGGGACTTTTTAAAGTCCTTAAAGCACATAAGAATATCCCCCCTTCTTCCCCCACCCAAACCTTCCCCTTCCTATTCAAAAGCAATATTCTGTCTCTTCCCCTTTCCCCCTCTTTCACCTGCCACTGCTGCTTTCTCACTGTTCCAAGGCATGGGCAGCTTCAAAGCTGCTCCTGCCTGCTCCCACCATGCCACATAGAGGCTGGCCTTGGCTGGGTCCCTTCTCCCTGCACTTGTTCCTTGGGGACTGGGCAGGATAGACAGAGCCCATCATCCCACCCATTGCTCCTGTTGCTGTTCCCAGAACAGCATCCAACCTGGTTCTTGCCTGGATTTTGACATTAGTAATAATAGCAATGACAATAATAACACCCCCCTTTACGCATCTTGGGCAATATTTAAGGAGTGCCTCCAGTATGTCCTTACAATTTTAAGTTATTACAAGGAAACACCAAGAAGCATTTATTATGCAAGCAAGATGGTAGAATCTAGTATATGATGAGTTCTAATTTTAATTCTATATCATTTAATGGCCTGGTCTTGGGTAAGTCATTTATACCTTTTTTTCCCCAAAACTAATTCATACCAGCTTACCTCACAGGGCTTATCTCAACATTTAGTTCAAAACACTGAACACATACCATTTAATATGACAAGTACCTAGGAAGGAATAAGTAACCTCTGGAGTCAAATCCAAAGGAATTATTTTTTTCTTTTTGTTCACCAAAACCTCTTTTCCTTTGCAACCTTAAGATCTTAATGAGTTTTTATTGAAAATGAGTTGATTTCAGTAAATAAATTGCATTGGAACTAGAGATGGGTGCCACTAACTTTATTATCTCTACTTCTGGGGTCTTTTGGAATCCTGATCTTGGCTTTGATATGAATTTTGCAGCTGCTGTCTGCCTCCAGATAAGACCTAATGAAATCAGTGAAGCCAGAAACCAGGCTGTCAAACAATAGTCTCACATTAGTTCACAATCTTCTGTTCCCTTTTTGATTAATTTGTGTGTTTGTTGGTGTAAAAATGGAAAAGAAACAAAAAGAAAGACCTTGTGCCTGAATGAGAGGTGGCATTGTTGAAACACCTCAAAATACTCTTGAGAAACTGAAATCTGTATCAACATTCTTTTCAAAATACTAAATTATGGGAACATTATGTTTGCATGGTTAAGCAACCCAAGAAGCACCAGAAATTCCCCAGGTATGTTTACACATACAACTTTAACTCTTCCCCCTTGTGTCTATGCCATTCCATTCAGACTTTAATTACATGATCACATACCAGTTCTCAACTGCTACAATATAACTGCATACAATGTTTCTACAATTTGAGATACATGTAGAAGCAATGAGACCTGTGAACTACAATTTGTATGCCAAACATACCGTTGAAGTCATTTAATTCATTTATATGGAAAAGACATAGTAAGGTAGGTTTTACACAACATGCTTCAGAGCAATAGTAAACATTTACCAACAAATAGTAGATTCTAGTTAAATTAGGTTCAGAAGTTACTATTTCACTCCCTAAATGGCATCACTAGAAGATAACAGTGTGTGTGTGAGTGAGAATATATATAGCTCAATATTTAGCTGCCACTTCTTCTGCATTTGTCTAACATGCTGTACTGATAAACAGAAAGAAAATTTCTGAATGAATTAGGGGCTCTTCAGAGTAACAGGGCATTACATAGGGTTAAGCTGGAAACTGTTCAAATGTATACCCTGGAGAGAAGGAAAACTACATCATTCTCCTTTAATTCCTGTTAGCTTTAAACTGATATAATTCCATCTATAGTAGAAAATTTAGTCCTGATTTATTAACATGAAAGCAAAATAATCTGAATCACTAAAACAATAGAAGTACCTGAATGATACAAGAATTGACTATTACATAATACTTTACCTATGTCTGTAAGTTTAATAGAATAGTATAAAGTAACATATTTTGAAAAAATGTATGGGTGAAATACAGGCTTCATTGTGACCAATAGGAATTGTGCTACAGACTTCAGCAAGCCAGGATTTTACCTGTATGCTCACCCTATATGATGCATCAAAATTCATATACACAAGAGGACAAAGTTAATGTTGAGTATGCATTTAACCTTGGCTTTTCATGACTTTGGAGTGATTTACTGTGCAGCACTAACATCCTCCTAACACTGCTTTTATTATTGGAATCGCCTGTGGCTTTTTAAATAAAATGAAAAATACTACTCCATAATGCAGCTCTATTTGTCTAAGCATTATTGGAAGCTTAATCTTACACACCTTGAGATCTGTAGGAAAGTTCCTGGTCTTCTGCATTTACTTCTAGACTGTCACTTTGCAATACATCCTGAGTAAGGGGCAGTATGTTACACAAATAGCACCTACAAACAAAGTGGCCAGAACATAGTTCCAGTTCTGACAATATTTTCTTCACAGAAACTAGTGTTCTTTTTGGAGGACAGCCTTATTCAATGTACAACTACAGTATATAACAAACTATGAAGCTAAATTTGCCGCATGTAAATAATGTAGCACTGTGAGCCACACTGACTACTACAGTAAGAACTCCATATAGAATGTTCTCAATAAATGCAGTGTGAGAACAGCACTGAGTCAAATCCAAGTTTCACAATAATATCCACAGAAATTTCTCTTCAATAAGGGTTCTATCCAACCCAAATTTCAATTTTCTACCACTAGCTGCAAAAATGGCTGAATAATTTCAAGTTAAACATTTAAATACAAAATAATGTTAGCCCCCAAAGTGAACTTTTAAATAATCCATAACATTTATAATATTTGAATGGAAACTATTATGCAATTAAGTATAGTCAGCATAAAAGATCCTTCAATAACATAGAATAACTGGAATCCAATCCTCACATCTTCCCTCATCCTCCTTCTTTAAGAGCTCAACTGTGTAAAGTGCTAAGCAATTAAACATGTAGATATTGTTAAACGGATTAGCAGGTTCTCCTGTGACTTCACTGGGGTTATTCATGGGCCTAAAGTGACCTAAAGCATCAAGCTTCTGTTTTGCAAACACCTACAGTATGAAGAACCTTGACATGAACAGGACTGACCACATCAGCAAAATCCCTCATATTCTTAAGTAGTTGCATCAATGAAGTCCAAATCATTTTCCCTGGAACCTGTTACTTGTACATTATAGTATAAAACATATAATTTTTTTTGCCAAAAACAATCACATTCTTGCAAGCTGTCAGGTTCCTAAAATTTAGCCAAAAAACTAACTACTCATATTAATTTGTATTAATTGGTATTTCTCTAATTTAGCCAAAAAACTAACTACTTTTAATAATTTGTATTAACTGGTATTTCTCAATAAAGAACACATTGGAAAAAAAGTATTTTTTTGGTAAAACAGTATAAGCCGTAATAAACAATCTAAGCATTTATTGTAGGGTTACCGATGGAACCACATCGCATGCCAGCACAAAACAGTGAATCAGCTTAAGCTGTGGACACTTGCCACTGAAGGGGCCTATAAAGGAGACTTTTGAGACACCCTGATAAGGGGCTCTCTTTGTATTGGTGCCCACTGTAGTATAGGTGCAACCTGAGGGCCATCTTACAGTATACTGGCCAGGGTGCCAGTATGCCAGGCAGAGAATATCAGAGCACAGTAATAGTTCATAATACAGAAATACATCTTTCTTGTAGTCACTAGCCTATTTCCTTCTGCTTGATTCTTACACCTCTTGACGTTAGTGGTGCAGAAATAGATACTTAGACTGTCAGCAATAAGAAACAGGGACTTTGTTTTTATTAATTACATTTCCCGTTCACTTTTTATAAAGAACTAAGTGAAGTTATGTTGTCCTATAGTTACGTGCTAACATATATTATTTATAATAGTGGTCTTTATCTTTATTATTAATTACTAGATATATTAAATTCAACAATGTTAGGCACTGATGATCTCATCTCTTTATAGAAATAATAACTAAATATATAGCTCTTACAAACGGCATAAAGAATCAAGTATATAGTGTGTTGGTATAGCAAGGTGATCCACAATTCCTTTATTTAATAAATAAAAATACAAGTGCACTCTTTGCCCCTTCCTGGCTTACTTTAGCCAAAGTCATAAAATAGCAATTCAAATTCACAAGTCACAGCACATACCCGCACTTGAAAAACAGGCATCTACACCTTTCAAATATTGATCAAATCCCCTACCTTTCCTACATAGAGAGGGTCTGTACCCATGTATTCCTCCAGCACAAAGAACTGATTCCACACCCAGCTGCGCTTGGTTCTCGGCCTCCCTGATTGAAAGTAGGGCTTTGACCTGGACCTTGAAAGTTCTGCTTGATTCATCCCAGAAAGGCACAAGAAAAGAGCTATTATCTGCAAAAAATGGCAGAACTCCACTCTGCCCAACTTCATCTTTTCTTTTTTCCCTGTGTAAGAAAAAACCTTGACAAGAAAACAGGTACAATTCCAGTTGGCTCAGTAGCTCTAGCCTCTGGCAGGGTGTCAGCTGGGAGTCCAGAGATAATAATTTGTAGAGTGTTCGATTGGAAGAGGTCACCACTGCTGAATAGCCTTCACCAGAGAAATGGTATAATAGGTACCTATCAGGAAAAAGACAAGAACTTGTTGTCAGAAAGTTAAAAAAAACCCCAAATATCCTTAGCAGCTTTCAGATGGTGCATATATCTTAGCTCTTAAAATAACTTTTCTTATTAGTAGTAGTAAAATTGAGCATATACAATAATTCTTTGACATTCTAGATTGTCTTCCTTTGATTATTTAAATAGGCCTTACAGATCTGTCTTTATAATCATGAAGTCAGATTTGTCTTGAATGTTCTCTTGATTTGTTCAGCTTTCCCAACACAAAACATTCAGCCTAGTCTCCTTCTCCCTCCAACTGTTTCATGTTTACTAACTTGATCTTTTCTTTCCTCAGTTAATTTTACTTATCATTATTAGGACATAAGAGCAAACTGACAACAAACAGGGATTTATACCAATGGAAAGGGCATATGCTCAACTGAAACTCTTCCATGTAATAGAAATGTGAAATTAAGTAGTGTAAAGTGTTTCAGAACAATTTGATTGATTCTAAGTATATCAGATGTTTTGATATGTTCTGATCTGAACCTGATCAGATAAAAAGCCCAAGAGTTTCCACATTCATTTTTTTTTCACATTTCAAAACCAAATGTCAGGCATGATATGAAGCGTGTTAGACTAGAGTATGCGTATATCTTCTGAAAGGTCAGAAAATAATTTGATTTTATATGTTCAAGACAATGTTGGTAGGAGCCTGAGTGAACCTTCAGTAATAACAGACAGTCACTGTCTTGTTGTGTACCTTCTCTTTTTCACTTTCAAAATTCTTATTTAGAAGTTTGTACAATTTAAGATAAATTATTCCAACAAAATATTATTTAAAACATTTTAAGATACCCTGCCCTGGTACTATCAGAACAGATATAGTGTATTGGGCGTTTTTAAAGAAGTTTAGTCTCCCATTTCTTTTAAAAATATGCAACTGTTTGAGACAGAGTGAAGAGAGGGTGTTGCAGAGAGATCATGTATGCATGAATTCTATGTAAGGAACCCCTCCTGCAGTAAAGCTTACTCCTTGTTATCATACCAAGAATGAGACAAGGTACCTTAAGAAAGTGTCAAATAAAAAAGTGGAGATTAAAATGAATTACAAAGTACTCAGAGACAATACAATCTGGAAGAAATAAGACTTAACTTTGTATATGCATTATTAAAATGAATGGACTAGCTATTATATCATTCATACAGAAAATGCGTTAAATTTCATATGCTACTAGCCATCTTTATTAAAACTGAGTGAAATACCATTTCTGGTACTTCTTAGAAGCTTTTTGTTGTGTAATTTCTATATATCACTCTGCCAAAGGTATCTAGAGGGTGAAACAAAACAAATAAAAAGCTCTTCTGATTACAGGCTTCATTTAATGCCTTTTTATAGTAATCCCTTCTGTGGTACTGCTTTACAGCAGAAAGGCTCTGCTTAAATACTGATGGGATAAACCAAAAATCCACTGAGTGTGTTCACTAAGCAACAGCAATTTGAAAACCTTCCTATATAAAAAGTCATTGCCCAGCTGAAAGCAAAGTACAGAAAAGTAGCAAATTCTTACATAATGGCCATGATTTTTAAAACGCTACAATTCCAAAGCACTTCTGAAACTTGGATCAAAATTCCCTTCATAGAGATTAACAATAAATTTGGCAATTTCTGCTGACATACTAGGGTATGGTATATGTAAATATTTATATATATTTAATTGTTATTCCTGAAAAACCATAGCTTAAGTTTGCTGTAAGTCTTGAATTGAGATGTAGGCTAATAAAAAAAAAAAACAACTACAGAAAAAACAAAACAACAAATGAAGCTTTAACCTCCCCACATCATCCTTCAGTTTCATGTAAGCAATGGTTCTCTGGAGAATTAGTGAAGAGATTGTGTGCGCCCCCTTTAGGTGCCTTCTTAACATCTCTGTTACACCACGTTAGTTAAAAAACATGTGATATTGATAAACTGTCAGCTTATTTCAAAGAAGCAGCTGCTGTTATTTAACAGAGATAAAAATATGAAAGGGATTTTTATAAGAAAGGTCAGTAAAACATTTACAATGCGTTAAAGTTTCTCCACTAAGCACCTTGAAATGTCTTGCTCTGAGCAGACATTTAGAACTTGGAATTGCTGTAACCTTTATCTGGGACAATATTTTCTGATGTCCTTTCTTTTACACATGAAGAAAAGTATGAAAATTGCCATATGAAGTCTCATGGTCCCTAACTACATGCTACAGAACAGAACTAAAAAACACGCCCAAAATACCATTCAAAACACAGCCCATATGCTAAGCAGCACAACCTGATGAAGGGCAGAAGACTTGTGCCCTTTGGAAGGAATCATTGCTATTTACCCATTCTCAAATAATGTTATCACAATGTCTTAATATTCCAATTATTTTTATTCAGTTAAGTGCCAACACACTCTTTTTTCCCAAATGGATTGCTAACTCCCTTTACTCATAATAGATGTTATTTTAGCAGAACTAATTCTCTAGATTTTTTTTTAGTCCTTTCAGGATGCTTAATATTTCAGTGGGATAATTCCTAAAAAGAAGGAATCGATGTCTAGGGTGTAATAATCTCAGCTTTCTTGCAGAACAGAAATCATTCATTAAAATGTAATTGATAATAATGTCTCATTCTTATGTATGATTATACATACAGTACTGTATATGGCTAAGTAGGTACAGGCATTCAAAAAAGCTCAAGGCAACATCAATCAAGCCTACATGGGTTTTTGTAGTGGCATGGGTTAGATCAGGAGCTAACAGAACACGTTTCTCGCCCTGGTTGGGGGGGGGGGGCACACAGACTGTCTGCACTAGCTAAAGCCAGCAGGTTGGGAGCACTCCTGCACCCCCCTCAGCAGGCCCTGTGGGTCCTCTGGGCTGCTAGAAACTGCTGAGCACAGCCGAATACATGGGTCACCCCTGACTGGCTGCCAGACACAACTGAACATGCCCGCAACCCCCTGCCATCACTGCAGACTCTCCCCTATGCCAAACCCTAGGCTTCTAGAAAAGCTCCAGAGTAGGTCACCATGGCAGGTCCCCCGCTGCCACCAGTCAGACTGCCAGATTTGTCATGATGACCTGTTCCGGGGCTCTCCTGATAACCTAGGGCTGAGCACAGGGAAGGGTCCACAGTGATGGCAGGGGGTTGGAAGTGTGCTCGCCCATTCCTAGCAGCCTATCAAGAGTGTCTTGACCGCTCTGTAAAAGGAGAATTGGGCCCTTGGAACTCCAGCACCAGCAGCAGGTTGCACCTGGCAGCCTGGGAAGCTCATGCCAGGCAGTGGGGAAAGGGTGGGCTCCCCAATCTCCTGCTTCTGATGGGCTCAGCACTTCACTTGGTGGAGCCCCCCTGTTCCTACCACCTGGTACGAGTCAGGGTCACACTGTAGCCACCAGAAACCATCCTTCCTCCCAGTGGTAACTGAGCATATTTTAAAGCATTTCACCAATAACATTTAAATGCAGTTTATCCACAAATACTCAAATGAATACTTATTACTTCTTACTTTCTAACATATGAACATGTCACACAACATAAAAATGAATGTGAGTGTTAAAATAAATTCATTATGAATCAGTTATCTTTATTTTCCACTCATTTTCACTGTATTAATGGACAGCATGTGCTATAGACAAAAATGTAGGCATTGACACAGTTAAATTAATGGTACAGAATATTTTACAGATATTTTGTGTATGATACTATTTGTTCCATAATTTTCCAGGGCCATGGGAGTTCCTGGCTGGGTGTGCAGGTGCCAGGGTTGGGCTCCTGTGGGTCTGTGCCTGAGTACTGGGCTTCTCTTGGGTTCAGTTTCAGGTTTGTGTGTACATTATGGGGTGCTTTGTGATGGGTTGGGAGAGCACAGCCCATGGGTGCCCAGGCCTCATGTGGAGACACAGATGCCTCCTTTCCCCCTGTTGTACCAACACCTCCCCTCTGTCCAACTCCTGAGGCTGATAACTGACTGGAAGCAGGAGGCAGGGCTGAGATTGTGCTTGCTGGCTCAGCTCTGACAGCCATGGGGAGGGACCTGCTGGTTGCTTGGCTGGAGCAGCTAAGCGCATGGCAAGTGCTAGCATGTTTCCCTGCAAGTGGGGGGGAGGAGCACAAAGGAACCTAGGATGCCAGCAGACAGCAACCTAACATGAGTCAATAAATCTGGTACAGAAGGTCAATGCACCAGTCTAACCAAACTCAATTAAGTTTGAATGCACATCAATCCAGGCCTCAGACTGGGTTCTGCCATTTTTAGACCAGTCTGTGTACGCTAAGCTTCTGTCCTGCTGCAGGTTTACACCAGTTTTCAATGACTTATACTGGTTTGTGTGTAATGTCTGTACCTGGCCTATATCTATCTCTTCCTATATACCCCATCTGGGACCATGGCACTCCACATGGCAATTTTCATACTTTCCTTCAAGTGTAAAAGAAAATGTGTGTGTGCAAGCGCATACACGTTTGAGAAAGAACTCTTACTTTAGGATCCCCTACTGCATGAAAGGCTATAAGTAACTTTCCAGCTTCAACAGAGCTAAATGGCTTTTTTTTCTCACCAAGACATGAATTTAGGGTTTTGTATTTCACATGCAACAACAGACTCTTCTAGTATGGAGGGGGACTATATATGAAATGTAGCTTTACCTTCTAATCCAGGTATTCTTTGTTTTATCTGTTATTGCAGGATGGGGTCTAAAGTAAAAAAGTCACTGATTCTTAATTATTGTTGATTTTGTGTTTTAATGTATATATTCTGAATAAAGTTCCTTCTTTAGCACAATTCAAGGCACATATCACCGGGAACAACTTCAGTGGAGATGAAACCGATGTAAGTTTAACATCTAACCTAACTGAACTGTCATATCAGGTATTCAGACATGCAGTTGTTATGAGTTTTGTCCACTCCAGGTTTCGGATGCTAATTTAGGTCTTCAAATTGTGGATACACAGAATGAGGTTGGGTTTTTGAAAAAACAAAAAAACCCCAACAGGCCATTTTTAAAATTAAATTAAGCTTTTTCATGCTTTAAACACTATAGCTGCCTCCCAGAAGAACTCAGCCTTACATATACTTTGTGCAGAGCTCTGTGGTCTGACAAAAATGCCAAATATTAGTTAAAACAAACCATCTGTAATCCAAGGGTTATATTCTGTGATCGGGGTCTTTAATATTTCCTTTTGCCAGTGATACATCTAAAAAGGCTGAAGTGTTTTCTTTAAGGAATGTGCCATGAGAATCAGAAAAATCCATACCAAGTGACTACTGAACCTCTGCTGAATCGTGTTTGTGTTCTTATGCAGACATTTTGCTGGTTGATCTATAAAACATCATAGTATGAAAAACTACAGTCTAAAAAAATCTTGCTATTGAGAAGATACTGTAAAGTCCATATTTCTTTCATCTGCTATTTGGGTATTGAACTGTGTTTAAGCTAGTCTGCCAGGAAAGGAGTTTTAGAGAGCACTTTAAACTGGGGAATGACAGACTTTTTATTTCACCAAAAACATCTTCTAGTGGCAGAGGAGTGAATATTGTCAATTGTCTCACAGAGGTAATCCTAAATTGAAAGAATTTGGACACAGATTCAGATTGTCATCTGTTACAAATCAACAGAGTTGCATAGTTTCAAGCAACTAGGTCAAGTTACACCAGCTGTAGATACAGTAATATCAACAAACATACAACTTCTCTCAAGTTGTTTGCTTCTTGCCTTGTCCATAGTGAACCATATTTTTTCTTTTCCACCTTTCCAGACGATCAACTGTAAGTCTTCATTTTGCTTGCCTTCTCTAATCCGAGATGCAATTACTTGGTTCCTTCCTCTATCTCTTCCATTTTAAAAACTAAAACTTAACTTCTTTGTTTTTTGCCACAGGCCTCTGCTTGCATATTGCTGTCGGTTTAGTCCATAAACCTTCTTCCCCCACCCCCAATCGACCTACACAACTTCACCTCATTTTCTTTGTCCTTCACATCCCAAAACACACTTCATAATCTCCTTTCTCTGTAAATTCTTCTAGGCTGAGAAACTGTAGTTTTCTGCAGTCTTATATTCCTCTGTTGGACAACGGAATTGTCCTCCCACCCAGCTGAAAACAAACTTTTCTTTTAACTTGAGTCATACCATTTATACTTCATTTTCCCTTCTCTTACCTATACAGCTTTCTTCAAATGGCTTTAGCTTCTCAGTACCAAGGCAGTCCCCCAGTGGTTAACCCTGATCTTCTCTGTCCCCAGAAGCATCACTTAAAATAGTGTCCAGACAATACCAATCAGTAAGTCATGCCCCAGAAGGGTCAACAGTGAAAAGTTATCCCTTATTTTTCTCACTTCATTTCAATCATTCAATAAAGTAACACCCCTCTGTTACTACTGTCACTAGATCTTGAACCATGATCCCATGAATGCAGTAGACTCAGCAGGTTAGCCCCTTGATAGCTGAATGACTATGACTAAAATATTTGTTTTGCCATTCTATTTTATAATACCAGTTGGAAGTGGTTTTACTTTCTGTGCAAAAAGAAAACTCCCCTTTCACTAGCTGCAGGTGCATAACAGTGTCACACATGACTGCATTATCATAGGACTCTCTTTACAGTCATGTTAAATCTGTGCTTGTTTAGAGAAGTAAGGGTTTTGGTGAAAGAACAACTCTAAAAAAATTACAGTTTAGATTGCAGTGGCTGGCTTTCACCTTTCTTCTCCAAAAGGGAGCGTTTCATTGAACAAGAAAGATTGAGACCCCTCCATGAAGTGAGAGTCTCCACAAGTCAAGGCAGCATGATCAAACTCATTAACTCCCTGTGCCAGATGACATTACAACTACAGACCACAACCTCCTGCCGCTAACTGGCCTAAATATTCACACGGGAGCTCTGTAAATGGAGTGCACATCCTGTAGTCTGCATCTGGTTATCAAACAAGAAACTAACACTGCTCCCAGCATATGGCACTGTTATACTAAACTAGCTCCAATACCCTCTGACTCAAGTGAAAGGACCCGACAAGGCAACAGAAAAAACAATAAGCAGACTTTAATAAATGACAAGGTTTCACACAATGCATACAGAAACCAAGGTGACAGTTATTCAGTCTTGCACAATACCCTGGAACTGATTATGTGACAGTACATAACTGAATTTTTAAGCAGTATTTTTTTTTAAATCCTTGTAATTTTCTCCATATGCAAGTAGCTTTGCCACCTTGCAACATTAAATGACAGATCTAAGTGGAAAGGTGTATGCTAATTTGATCAGTTTAAGTAGTTCTCTGAAAATAAACGCTGGCAATATTTTTATAACTATATTTTTATAGTTATACAATACAACTAGGTGAATTTCAGCAACACCATTGACTCTGACTTTTCCATCCTTGTTTAAGTTGTGCAATTTTATAAAATACATAGGGGAAGAAATTACTTTGTGGTAGTTCCCTGCAAAACCTCTGAATTCCCAGTGGAGGCACTCCTGTATAAGTGCTCATAGTTAAGCATGGTGTGACTGGCAGGGGTTGTAACCACCATATATTTTATGTACCCTCCTTCTGATGGAATTAACTGATTCTTTATTGCCACAGAAAGGCAACACCCAGCAGTGACATGAAAGCATACATGAACAAACTGTGCATAATAAACTACAGCACATTAGACAGCTCAGGAATTAGATCCACTGAAGATGGTCGGTCCTGCATTATCAGGTACTGAATGCAATGATGAAAGACAGGCAATATGGAAATTTATTAGCAAAGTATGCTAACAAACTAGCTCCTGACTAGTAAATTTATTAGCAAATCACTTAACAATGAAAATAGTCAAATCCCAATTTTTATTTCAAAGAGGAAGCAATTTGTGTGTTGAGTACCTTTAGGAAAAACCGCAACAATGCTTGCTTAATAAAGTAGGAGTTTGACTTAACGGCAAAGAGTCATGAGGTTTTATATTAATGATGGTTTTCTCAAGTCTTTAGTACCTGACTGTTAAGAAGATTAAACATGCATATACAACATGCATGTATAAAAAGTTATGATGTGGTGTGCATACATGTGGATGATAAACAGAAGCCTAGACTTCACCCGCATCCCTTTCTGCTCATCAGACACAGTCAATTCAAGGATAAACTGCAGTTATACACATGCTTTACAATTACCCTTTTATACAGAAGGGTAAAAGCGCTTTGCTATTAAATCAATAAAAGGAGACTTAAAAGAGTTGTGAGGCTGTCAGCTGATTGTTAACACAGTCCTAATGACCTATAGCAGCCTTTAATTACAATAATATCTCACATTATAAGAGCTCAATGCCCTCTGATTAAAACTGCAAAAAACCTTAACAGCATTTTTGCAGGAAAATGGTCAGTATTACTAATGATTGTTTTTTCTTCATATTGACTGGCACGTGCTTCTAATGTACAGGAGCAGATGAGAGTATTAACTTTTGATATTTACCCAATACTCCTGGCATTTTTTCCCCTATGTTAAGATCTCAGCCAAAGGCATAAGATTTTTCTTTTAATATAGAAAGTTGTTAGTGTCAGCACTAAGCTCTTTTTCTGTTCCCCCTGTGCTTTTGCTGCAGATTGTATTTTTACTTTTTATTTTATTTCATCTTTCTTTAATATCCCTAAAAACAAAAAAAGACTGTACAGATTAGATCCCCTGATAGTTGCAGGTTGGAAAAGCTAGAAAATCTGAACAAGGACTTTAAAACAGGAGGTCACATTTGGTCCGTAGAAGAATTTTTCAAAGGTAGGAACCGCACAGTTAAACCATGTTAGTTTTAATGAGGCATACACATATTATTGCTAAACACCCAAACCTCACTGCTGTCACCTTTAAACTGTCATGATGTTGCTAATAGCCTGCCAGCATGATCTTTCCTAAGAAGTCTTTACCTGCTGACCTGTTATTTGTATCCTCAAAAGCTTTAATCTAGGCAGTAGCCAAAGCAAGCTACAGTAATATAACTTTCCTGCTATGCATTTAGCCTATTCATATGCCTCTCATTACCTTATTCTAAGTGCCTTATTTTACCCCCCCCCCCCACTCTTCTTGCTCATAATGTATATATGTATTATAGGACAGAGAAAGAGAGAATGTATAGAAGAATGTGTACCTAGCTAGCTATTACCAAAGAGAATGCAATAATATACCTTCGCTGCTAACTTCAAAGCATCTGGCAGGGGAAAAAAAAAATATTAACCATCATAAAATCTGAAAAAAGTAAAATGTGTCTGTCCCTCATGACCAAGCTGATGCTCTTCAAGAGACTGGCATTTATAACAGCCTAGCTATGGTTTTCTTTTTTTCCCCTTCCCATCCCCCTTCCCCCCTTACCCAGAAAGGAATTTATTTTCTGCAGAGCTTTATGATCACCTACTTTTGCTTGAAAAATGGCAGGGCAGTATGTCTTGTTAGAGAGACAATAAAGTATATGCTGCCCTTTCAAGTCTGCTTTGACTTGAGAAGTTATCTATCAAGCAGATTTTTTTTTCCTTGCAATAGAAAAGGATTAAAGTATCAACTTGTCAATGTGTAGAATGAGAAAGCCTCACTAACTTCAAGCTCCCCCAGCCCTGAACCTCACCCTTTTTTTCCAGGGGAGTCTTCTCTAGCAGAACCCTGACTCACCTGAACTTCATCATCCCTTGAAACTGTAGAAAGAGCTGATCTTTATACAAAAAGGGCTGTGTTTCTCTATTTAACAACTTGAAGCCTGAGGTTGAAGACTATGTAATACCAGCAGTGTACAGAGTCTATTCTAGGAAAGCAGGACATGTGTGCGTATGTGTGTATGTGTATGGATGGGAGGGGGTCACTATCAAACAGCCAAGCACTGCAGAGCAAACCTTACCAGCTGAATACTAATTAAAGAAATAAGCCCTCATCAGTCCCCATATTTGCAAACTATAAAACATCCCTGATGCTAGGAGG